TCTCCACCTCGTCCTTCCTTCTTGCTAGCAAGATATTAAAATATTTCTCCTACAACACGAAATACTAAAATATCTCGTGGTATGTCCACTAGATGATGCAGCATACAACGCAGCATTGGACAAAGCAACCGGAGAAGTTGCAAGCTGCATAGCTGAAAAACTAAACTACGAATTACAACTAATACAAATTCTTCGAACGAAAAGAAATTAATAAAAAAGTAAAAACCCAAACATATTTGTACAAAACAAGATTAAAAGCAAAAATACTTTTTTTTTTTCGTTCAAATATTAGTTCCTTACACTGAATATGTAAAAGAGTGATAATACATTGAGTGATACCAGAAACTTTTACAAGACAAAAAGGCATCTGATTAAATTTGTTTAAAAAAAAAAATCGAAAAAAAAAGTACTAAAAGAGGTACAAACCCAATGCCGGTACAACAGCATCCTCAAAACCGTCCTTTCGTAAAGCTGGCATTCCACTATTTCTGCGCTTGAAAAAAAAAAACATTCACAAGCATTTCGAAGACCGCTTTAGAAAACGAGTTTTCTGATGAATTATGAGAATGGTATAGCAAGCGCGAATGAGAGAGAAGAAACAGATATTTTGCCTCGGGCATTGTGCGTATTATGCGCTTTGAACAGGTATAGTTAGGGGGAATAGAGGAATAACTGGGAGTAGTAAGAATGTATAGTTAAAGAAAAATATACGTATAATTAGAAGGGAATATGAGATGATCTAATGATGACAATCAAAAATAAAACGTGGGTAGCAAGATGAAACGCGATGATGAAACAACAGCTAATCAAAGTCCAAAAAAATATATCTTTCTTATTTCACTAACAAAGACCAAAAAAGAGTAAAATTTAACAACACGTGCTACTGGGAAAGCTAGTATAGGAGGAAAAATAGAAATGGGTCGTGCCACTAAAACAAGCGATGAAATTTTTGGTGAGCAACGAGGAAGCGCATTTGCATTTGCTTTGCTGACCCTCCCCAACAA